GTATTGAGATGACAGCCTGACTACATGGATTAACTGTCTAAATTCACGTGAGACCAGAAAAGTGTTTTTGGAAGCTGATACAGAACGATGTATAATCAGCAATCCATCAGTAACAGGTTTCTGTGATTCTAGGGCTTTGTTGGTTATTTATGTATTTATTTATTTACTCTCCTACTGAGATCAGATACTTCTGTATGAATTTATTTTCTCCAAAATACATATACTGTGCAAAAAAACCTGAAGGTACACTTTAATCAGATAAGTAGAGGAAGGGGTTGTTAATCAGTATCAGCTACTTTCTGTTAATGAAATAAACAATAAATGCACTAGAGGAGCAACAATGAGACAAACCCCAAAACAGGAATGGTTTTACAGGTGGAGGCCACTGACATTTTTACACTCCTGTTTTTTCACTAGGTTACATTTGGCTAGGGTCATTGTCACTACTGGTAGCATTAGGAGATACCTAGACTCTACAATGGTTGCATAGATACTCCAATTCTCCAGGTTGGCGTGCCCTTTCCAAAAGGCTTGTTGTGTCTCCCAGCACAGTTTCAAGAGTGTGGAGTGTGGAGATTCCAGGAATTAATTCAGTTCAATGTTATTTATATATCACAACAACAGTTGCCTCAGGGTGTTTTATATTGTAAGGTAGACCCTACGATGATACATACAGACAAAATCCCAACAATCATATGACCCCCTATGAGCAAGCACTTTGGTGACAGTGGGAAGGAAAAACTCCCTTTTAACAGGAAGAAACCTTCAACAAAACCAGGCTCAGGCAGGCCGGCCATCTGCTGCAGGAGGCCCTTAACTCACCAGCAGGGATGGTACCTGCTCCTTTGTGGAACAGAATGAGCATTGCCACTGCCCTAAAAAATGAGCTTCAGCAGGCTACTGTAGGAATGTCTCAGAACAACTGAAACAGACTTCATGAGGGTGGCCTGACATCCTCTAGTGCAGCGGTCCCCAACCCCCGGGCCACGGACCGGTACCGGTCCGTGAGTCGTTTGGTACCGGGCCGCAAGAGTTGAGGCTCAGGTGTGAAATGTATAGTTTTGTTATTGTTTTTATTGTTTACTCGGTTTTCCTTGGTCTTTTCACGTGTGTTATGAATACATTTTCTTTTTTTTCGGTACCGGTACTAGTTTTATTTTGTTGTATTTATCCGCGACACCTTAAAGGCCGGTCCATGAAAATATTGTCGGGCATAAACCGGTCCGTGGCGCAAAAAAGGTTGGAGACCGCTGCTTTAGTGGAACCATGTGTTTACGGTCCAGCACTGTGGAGCCCGATTGGCATTTGCTGTAGAATACCAGAAATGGCAGGTCCACTCCTTGTCCACCATCTGTGCTCTTCACAGATGAGAGTGCGTTCACCCTGAGCACATGTGACAGATGGGAAATGGTCTGGAGAAGCCGTGGAGAATGCTATAATGCGGTTTGGTGGTGGGTCATTGATGGTCTGGTGGGACATAGCCATGGAGGGAAACACAGACTTCAACAGGCTGCGCAATAGCCGTTAGTTATATGGATGAAACCTTGGGTCCAAGGATTTCATCCTGTCCTGGAACACCTCTGGGATATGTTTTGCTTCGTTCAACGTCACCAGGTTGTATCTCAGACTGTCCACAAGCTCTGTGATGCTCTGGTTCAGATCTGGTGGAGATCCTTCAGTTTACCATTTATCATCTCATTTGGAGCATACCCCAAAGTTCTCATGTATGCAAACTAATGAGTGCTATTTTCAGTTGCTGCAAGGACATTTTGGCAAAATAGATGGAGTCAGCCAAGTTTTCAGGGAAATGATTCATCGACAGAACTCTTAAAACTTTGTGTCAAGATTTTTGTACACTAGTTTATAAATATGGTGCAAATATTATACAGCATGATTCCAGTTCTTGACTTTCTTTGACTGACTCAATTGTGGTGAGCTTCAAAAGGTTGATTTCCACAGGCCAAACTCAAGCCATGGCAGGTTGTAGCAATGGAAATGTGCTTATGTCAACACAGACTTTGACTGTTATAGAAATGCAAAGGAGAAAGTACCGAAATTGTAAACTCAACATATTTAAACTGTTTTGTTAACACTATAAGTTCAAGTGCTTATCTTAAAGACTGAATATCTTGCTTTTGTACCTTTGGAGGCTCAATTCTTTGGCAGTCTGTTTTAATTTGAGCCCTGTTATTTGTCTCGAGCTTCCTTGACAACCAGTAGTCCAAAGTGCTGATAGCCAGACCTCATTTACACCTGATGAATGCTACTAATTAGCTTTTCATCCCAAATAGTTTTTGAACTGTGGTTACTTACTGTGGTGACACAGATTTCTTCTGCAGCTTCTCTTCATACCCATCCACACATCCACATGTCACTACTTTGGATAAAATAAAATTGGCTAGAAATTGATATCCCAAGGTTGAATTAACCTTCAAGCCATTGCCTTTCTGTGTTCTGAGGTGACACTTACCTCCCTATGGGCTATCAAGTCAGCCAATTAGAAGTCTTGGGTTTGGGGGGCGGAGAGCTGTGAGTCTGAACCTTAAGTTCCAGGCCAGATGTGCTGTTGGAATTCTTCCTGAATTGCTGACAGGGTCCTGGAAAGGTTTTTTAGGCTGGGAGGCAGCAGACTTTGAAGGACTTATCTCACCACTGACATGCAACACCTTTATGTGTGTGACTGTCCTGCTTTTATTCATTGTTTTGTCTCTCTTTCAGACACACTCTTTTCTTTTTGTGTCTCTGTAGACTTGCTTCTGTGAGATAAACTGTCCGAGGAAAAGAAATGCACACATACACACTTTGTTTTTGTCATGTTTCTGGTTCACTTTCTTTGTTTTTTTAATTTACTATTTTTACACAACCTCATACAGCATCCATATAGAGAGTTTATCTTGAATGCACAGTTACTGCAAGAAAATCCAACATTTGCCTCTTTGATCCTTCTTTACAAACTACCCCTTTGTACTGTACATTCATTCTGCCCCAGCCTTGCATTCTCACACATCATGTCGTCAGATTCCCTCCACCTCCTGCAAACCACAAGATTTTTCAGAAGTCTTCCAAATTATTCTTTTTTCTTTCCTTTGTCACTTGTATTGTCCTGGAGGAGGCAAAAAACTATTTTGAGTGAGGTCTCTATGGAAACAGTAAAGTACAAGCAGGATAGTGAGGAGGCTGAGCAGTGACGCATGATGGCTTTAAATTTCAAAGGTGAGAAACACTCTTGATCACCAGGAGACATTATATAATATACATCTAACACTGATCTCTAAGTTTGTCTGACTTTTGTAAGATGCTTTAGATGATTACTCAAACCTGCACCCCTCTAAGCCACTGTCACAAACATCTGTTTGTATTTGGCTAATAGTCAGTTTTTGGTGATTACCCATCTGCTTCAAATAATGCCAAGTTAATGTTGTTTTTGAAGCCTTTCAAGTCATGCAGCTCTCTCCTACAAGTGTATACTCATCTAAAGATATTTGGTAACTGGACTGATTCTTATGTAGCAGTTTTCTGCTCTACCATGGGATTTAAAGTGCTTTATACAACACGCCTCCTTTCATCTACCCACCCAAGAACTTTTTCCTGTGCTTAAGTGCATTCTGTCTAACATTCACACTCCGATCAATGCATCAGAGAACAGCATGGGGTGATTATCTTACCTAAAGATATTTGGCGTGCTGACACTATGAACGCGCTCGTTTATCTACATCATTAATCTAAACAGTAACTGCAGCCATGAGATTACCTATCTTAGCATTACACAGAGTCTTATATGGAAAATGTGCACGTAACAGATTGCTTAAAACAGGTGGGGAGAAGTTAGAGTTTAAATTTAACTCTCCCTTCTTTAGCGCTTTGGCTAGTCCCAGCTTCTCAGCGCTCTGTCTCTCTGCCCTGGAGACCTGCACCTAGAAGGTGGAAGGTTCCCCTTCCTCACATCTCTTCCCTGATAACTTGTTCTTCTAATGACCGTGAGAGTAATTCTGGCTGAGACTGGATACTGTTTTTATCTCACAGGGTCTGGATGACCGACCTTATCATAGGACTTAGTGTCCCTTCACCTTGAAGCTTCTACACTGTCGCCATTTCTAACTAGACACTGTCTAGACATCTAAATTCTTAAGCTGTTATTCAGTATAATACCTAACACAAACCAAAGCCTCTTTGGTTTTCAGCCACTCTAAGTCATCTTTGCCTTTTTCATCTTAGACAACAGGACTCTTTTCCTGTTGTTGAAGTTTTTCCATTTCTCCATACAGAAGGGTCTTGTTACCAAAAGCTGTACCTACAGTCATGTGAAAAAGAAAGTTTTCCTGGGACTCTATGCAGTGTAACAAACTAAATATACCCTTACTTCTTCCATAGAAATTCAGAGGGTAAGTAGAAGCCATGTTCTGCTAATCAAATGCACCCGATTAAATGATCATCAGCGATTGGGATCACCTCTATAAAAGCAGAGGTTTGGTGTTTTGCTAGTCTGGAGTATTCAGGAGTATTGGTATTAACCCAATGCCTCAATCTTTCCAGCAAATTCACTGAAGGTCAGACTGTGCCATGCTCAGAGAAATTGCAAAAGACTCAGGATCTTCATCTCAAACTCCATGCCTCAGTTAGCGTAATACGTGCTAATGTTCATGACTGTACAAGTACGATTTGTTTGGAAGGTCTACCAAGCCAAGACTCTTCTATCTAGAAGGACCAGTTGCTTTAAATGTTGTGGTGGATTGGTGTAACTCATTGGGCACATAAACCAAATTAGTATTTATGTAGTGCTTTCACAGTATTGGTTTCTTTATTGGCTTCTTGCAAGGTGTACATTTATGGTTAGAAATTAAAACAAAGCAGGCTCCATTTCTTTTTAAAACATTCGATTTTTGGCTCGGTGTGTTGCAGTAAGCAGATATTTAGTTCAAGTCAAAATAATCGTTTTCATCAAATGTTTTTGAAATGAGCGCTTTATACGTTTCATATTTCTTCTCTTACTTGCTTTCTAGCTCTGCTCTATGCCACCATCTTTGGAAATGTGACCACGATTTTCCAGCAGATGTATGCCAACACCAATCGCTACCATGAGATGCTCAACAATGTCAGGGATTTCCTGAAACTCTACCAAGTTCCCAAGGGTCTAAGTGAGAGGGTGATGGACTACATCGTCTCCACCTGGTCCATGACCAAAGGCATCGACACTGAAAAGGTGAGACTGAGACGCAACATGTCAGGTAAAGCTAATGTATTACTGATGTGCCATCTGTTTATGGAGATTTGGGATTTTGTGCTACAGTAATCATCCGGGCTGGAATTGAAAAAGCCAGACACCGTGTTTCTTTTTGCCATTTATACAGATTACAAAGCATCAAGTGATGTGTCAGGAAGCAAAAGCTTGAGAGTGATGGTTTTATATTTAATAGTCATAGATGCTTATAACATCCAAAAACAATACATTTAAGAGCATTTACCCATATATGTCTCATAATTAGCTGCTGTATCAGTGTTCTCAAAGAGTCTTAAAGTAAATCAATCAATAAATAAAAATCTACATAACATTTTTTTCAGAGCAAAAAGAAAACATCTTAAAATACACATATGTGTTCATTTGAGTATTATGTGCCGTAATGAAAGTGAATATAAACGAGTTTAAACCTAATTTACACAAACATATAGTGTCAGGAAACTTTTAACAAAAAAATACTTTTCCCCCCAAAATGTATGAAATTTTGGAATGTACATATTAAAGGCTATTGTCTCATTTTGTTTCAGACATCTGCACTTTGGTGAAGATTATATACATTAAATTTAAGTCTATTCGTGTATTTTATTTCGAGAGTGTGTACGTTACACATGCTAATTTTTAAAATTGCTATTATTATTTTGCTAGCTAGCAAACTCACGGGATAAATGACTGAAATGCACCCAGTATGATGCAATATGGCAGCGCTATTATAACAGTTAGTTATGGCACGGTAATTTATGGAATATACTGTGAACCTAACTAAGATTACGTAGCAGTAGCAGTAATGTGAGTGGCTTTCCTTAAGTGAAAGCTTTAAGCGTTAGCCCGATGCTTAACTAGACAAATGAAAGCTTTCTGATTGAAGGCTAAAAGCGGCGTTGTCACCAAGTAAATAGAATATTGATTATATTTTTGTGTATTGCTGCAGCTTTTTCAAGCGTTAACTAGGTGCCTTTGGCAACACCTTAGTGGGAAATAATGGTAATATGACTGATCCATATGTGCACAAAGAATAGACACTTTTTTTGTGCTACTGAAGTTCCCTTGCTTTCATTCAAAATCTGTTTATTGTTAAACAACTTCAACATTATAATGGCTCCAAGCTCACATTGAGGCCTGTGGGGCACTATCAGCCACTGAGACAGTAGACAAATGAATATTTCGTACTTTAAGGCTGCCTGTTTATTTAAGGCAGATGAACATTACATTATAATTGTACATAATAACCTCACAAATGATAGATTAAGTAAATAGGTTTTTGATAGATGCTTGTGCATTCTTAAAGTCTTATATGTTGAATTGAACTATGTGATCTGTCCAAAGCCTCTCCCAGTCAGTGCTGTTCTCCATGCCTGTCTTACTGTACATGATGTTATTAGCACAAACACTTTAAAGGTGATAATTTAGGACTTCAACAATAACACAGCTGCAATGTAGCTAAACATCTTACAGTTAGTTTTGAATGAATGAGCTTTAAAAAACAAACAAACATCTGTCTCCTATTTTTTGTGTCACATATGAAAGAAGCATCAATATCTGATGAAAAGACGTATTAATTTGGCCGTGCTGTGTATTATTTTGTGGTTTTTGGTGCAGTTTTCTTGTTTTTTGGGGTTGTTTTTTTTTTCCAACAGGAGATTAATATCTCTAACAACTGGATTTGTTCACATTTACACGTCTTAAATTTTAAGTGGGATGTGCGTTTTGAGTTTCGACACTATCTACACATAAGGCAGCCTTTTTGTTTTGCAGTATTTATTTGCAGTTTTAGCAAAAGTTGAACAAAAGCGTTTCAGTCAACCTCAAATGATTTGTTTTAATTTTCACATGGTCTTACTGAGGCGATGTGAAGTGAAACATGCATACTTTTTTTGGTAATGTGCTGGAAAAGCTTGAAATGGACCTTAAAGTGCTTAAAAATGCTTGAGTTTGACCCTGAAAAAGGTGTATGAACCCTGCATGTTACACCTGTGTGTGTGTGTGTGTGGCATTAATAACCGTTCTGTGTGGAACTTCAGGAAACAGTTGCTTGTAAATGTGAGGTGGACATCACATTTCTGACTTTTGGAGTACCATTGAATCCTGGTACCTCACGAGCCCCTCTGTAGTCCTATTTATGTTCCTAACACACATACACCAGCACAGATGTTGGTGCTTACCCACACACATTACATAAAGTTACCCTGAACTGACCCCTGACCTCCTAACTGCACCTTAAAACTGTTTGTGGGTTCCACTCTTCCTCACTGTCATTATCATCAAGTTGACTGCCCTGAGCGAGTGCATGGTCTTCACAGGGCTAGAGAACATGCAAATATGTGCACGCTTATATTATGGCACAAGATTCTAATCTCAAATTCCATTCTCTACTCAGCTGACCTGTCAAATGTATAAATATGATTGCAGAGCTTGTATAAAACATTTTTATATGTGATTTGGATATTTAATTTTCTTTATACAAAGTTTCCTCAAGATCGGTCTTCTCATCTAGGAGGAAATAAAGAACAAACATACATAAAATCTTCACATTATGACGATTACCCATAGAAAAGTGGTCCAAAGGCATAATGTTTCATGATGATATTTCAGCACACTACCACAATACCTGTATACTTTGTGCGTATATCAGAGTTAGCTAATCACCCCACATCATTTACCATTAAATACATATTAAATAATAATGCCAGATATACACTAGATGAAAAGCTCTCTTTTCCAAGTACTAAAATTGTACCAAATAGACATTAAGCCTTGGTTGCTAATTAACCAAATACATACATGTATACATACATATATGTATATATTGCATTTTGCAATAATACTGTTTGAACCTCCATTTTTGAGACTTCGAGATTTGAAATTTCCCCAGTTTGATTTAACTTTGAGGATATTAAACAGATTAGCTGTCTTTTGTTTATTTTTATGTTCTTTATTAAATATGAAATAATATTAAAGCCTGTTGTTTTTTTTGTTTTTTTGGCTGAACTGGAGACTGGCACATTATAAACTCATGATCCAAGATAAGCCTCATGTAATCTTCTTATTATTTATTTCCTGTTTTCAAGTTTTGTCCATGCCTTCTTTCTCTGCCCATTTAGTTTACTTTCCCAGTAACGTTATTTTCAGTTTAGCCTCTTCTTCATCAGTCCCAGATAATTATACACTTTTGAAGAGACATAAGGCTAGTTTTGCTCCTGCTCTCTGGATAAATACCTCACTGTCAGAGCTGAGGACAATTAGTAGATAAGTTTGTCACTTTGGGAGCCGTTATATAGTTCATAGTCAGCTCTTTATATGAGTACACACCCAAAAAAGACCAGTGTTTCCCAAAGGCTTCTTGATACGGTATCATCCACATTAAATGGAGCAAACAAAATATAAAAGACTTTTATAGGTCTTTATTCTCTTGAGTTTTCCCCCCTCCTCAATTTTGTTCATATGTAAGATGGCAGCATTTATAGAGGATGATATTTTGTTTTCTTTGATTTACTAGTACTTCATTTATTGGGACAGATTTTAAAAAGTGTGTAATGAGTTACACTAAACGGTTATCATTAACAGTCTGCCTTTGCTGCAGTTGTTTTCAATGCAACTAAACAAACTGGAATATAAAATCTGTCACTCATACATAGACGGGAAGTTTCTGAAAAATCAGGTTTCAAAACAAATAAGCTTTCAGTTTGAAGTTGAGGTTTTTGATCTTCTCTGACAGCGTCTGCTTTCTGCTGAAGTGTTCTTGAGCAAGAAAGCCTCTGGTCTTTTTCTGCAACTGACTTTCTACTGACCCAAGTCAATCACACTACAAATACACTGCCCAGGATGAAAATAAGATAGGGCTGATGGAGCAGCTGTGGGTCAGGTGGTAGTCAGTGGTGTGTCTGCCAACTGGAGTGCTGTTGGATTGATCCCTAGCACCAACAGCCCTGTGCTCAAGTATCCTTGGGCAATATACTGAACCAGGATGCATCTGTGTGAATGTCAGATAAAGCATTTAGAAAGTGGAAAGTGCTTTGAGTGCTCAAATTGAGTAGAAAGGCTCTATATAAGTAAAAGCCCATTTACCATTTAGCTTTTGTTTGCAGCAACAATGTTCAATAAACTCAATGCACATATATTGTTCTTTCACCTTGCACAGACACCTCATGTCTCTCAGACTCTGCATTGAGCGTTGAAATATTTATCTTCCAAATCCCTTCCTCAGCCGCATGGCATCAATGAGAAGTTTTGTAAAAGGAACCTTGTTACGCTTCTCTCATATCCTCATATTGTTGAACAATCAGATAAAATGTGCTTTCAAATAATGAGGCAAACAAATGTAGTGTTCTTCGTGAGCCAAAACCTCAGAGGGAATACTTGTACATTCATTGATACGGTCATCTGCTCCAGGCACAACACACCTATGACATCCAGGTGATGCCACTACTGCCCACAGCTCACAAGAACTGGCTGCTGCCCCTAGAAGGCATACAGAAGTAGGCCAAGCACAGAAATAGTAGGTTTTTGGGCAGACTGACCTTAAAAGACAGGAGCTATTACAGATTATTTGAGACAGAACATGAACTGGGGTGGTTGAGTAAAGACACACACAACAGAAATAAAGATATGTATTTTTAAATTGTGAATCATGCAGAGTTAGTTAGGTGGTCTGAGAATAAAAACAGGAATGCAACAGGTCCCACTGCAAAAACAATAAGAAGGCAGAAAGCAAACATCACGCAGCTTAAAGGATTTCCATTTGTCTTTAGGTTTGAATTTCAAACGTTCTTTTCTTAACACTTTGAATTACTTGAAAATCCGACATATGTAGTATGACAGAGGAAGGTGACGGCTACAGTGTAGCTGACCCTGACCGCTGACCTCTCTTTACAAATGTCTGTTGCCTAGCCTAGATGAACCAAAGCAAAGTATCCCTGAATCTATCTCCCCAACAACATTTTCAAGACTTGGGAAATCCAGAGGACCCAGAGAACCCAAGTCGGATGAGGTTCATATAATCTCAGGGTCTACTTGGGATTCTCCTACTAGCTGGATGCCTGGTATGCATCCAGAGAAGGTCACCAAGGAAGCCGTTGGACAACAGGAAGGTGCTGTTAGTCTAAACTACCACGTCATCCTCTCATGTTTCTTGTGTTACAGGTCTTATCCATCTGTCCCAAGGACATGCGGGCCGACATCTGCGTCCATCTCAACAGGAAGGTATGCAGTTATTATTTTCATATATCCATACATCAGTTCTGTTACAATGCTTAATCGAGTTATGAAAGGTGTGTAATGTGTGTCTCGAGGTAGTGAAAAATAAGCTCCTGCTATGATATGTAACCGTATGTGTCTGAGTGAGTCTCTTTAATAGCTACACTTTGGCAGATCTTTCAATATGGTTGGCAACAAAGTTGAGATTAGAGAGGCGTGTGCACACTGCTGAGAGAGTCTTTTTCTTGCTGGGGCTTAGCATAAACTTGGAGTCAAGGCTTTTGCACAGCTTTAAGTGAAACACCTGCAGCAATTACACACTTGTTCTTATAATGTCTTCCCTCATTCCAGAAAAATGATAGTTGACATGACAACTATCATGTCTTATGTCAGATGGGAAGTAAGACATGATGTTTCTGTGGCATAGCATGGCATACCTTTCAGTTCTTTAGTTCAATTTTGATTCAGTTTTATTTATACAGCACCAAATCAGTACAACATTTGCCTCAAAGTGCCTTGTGCCATAAAGTAAAGACTCTATGGTACTAAAAGAGAAATCCCTACAATCAGATGATTCCTTGATGACTGGCTGCTTCGACCGGTCGGGGGTAAAGGAAAGAGAGAAAGGCAGAGGGAATAGAAATCGAATTTCTGTTTTGTTTTTGTTCCGATAAAGAAAGTTTGTCTCCACTTATCATTGTATATCTCCAGGATAGTTCACTAGTGCCTGAATAGAAGCATGGCTGCTGGTTTGTATGTTCAAATATATCTGTGGGTCATATACAAAGCAGTGAAAGATGTTATGCCTTTTTGACTATACAGCATCAGCATCAGGTGCTTTTGTTACACAACTGAGTGAAGGTTAATTGTGCTCAGAGTCTTTTAGATATCACTTAACATGCAATGATATTGTTCTCAAAACTCTAGGAGATGTCAAATGCTAAAGTGGCGTGATCAGAGGACACCTTCAGTTGGGTAATTGTGCTGTGTGACAACCGTCTCCAATGACAGTTAGTCAGAAGTAACTAAATTTAGTCTTGTCATGCAGTGCGGCTGATTTTCAGTGTCTCTTCTGAAATAAAGCTCACGCACTACATTCGCTTCAAATACATCTAATCTTTCAGGGATGTTTGACTATGATAAAAGATTGTGAAACAGGACAAGAAGACATTCTGTTTAATTGTGAGAGGAAATTAAAGCTGGATGTCATTTAGGAGTTTCAAAGGAAGAAGATATTGTGCTTTGGTTTTATTTCACAAAAGAAGTGGAATTAGTTGGGGTTTTTTTAAAAAAAATAAGATTTTAGTTTACTTTTACCAGTATTTCATGTCCTGTCCCATCCATTAAGTTGTTTTTCCCCCACAAAGGTTGGGTTAAGATGCAAATACAGTTTTAATTAAGCCCCACATTTTTTTAAAAGCGATTAACAAAAAGAAAACAGAAAAAATCTGAACCTCTCCTTTTTTCTTCCCTTTGAGTTTAAATATGAAGCAGCTCATAATATGATGTGAACACTTTAACGGTGCCACACTAGATACATTTCATGTGTTGTATCCCTTAAACCTCAGTCACTTCATGCACTCACATTGTGCTGCAATTTGCTGACGGTGTGCTGCCAGCTGTCCTGGCAAAACAAGACTCCAAGAGCGAAACCACAAAGACGCGACACTGAAGTTTTAGAGATGTGCTTCTCAGTGATTATTTCAGATGGAAGCTTACATTTCTGCTTGAGGGCTTCAGGTGATTGACAAGGAGCACTGATATAAAAACACTCTTGCACAAACCAAATAAAATCTTCCCCTGGTGCTCTGATGGATTATCTCAGCGGGTGGAAGCGGTTTCATTTTCTCAAGGATATCAGAAAATGTGTACTTCTGCAGATAGTAAAACGAGGAAGCAACGAAATCTAAAGTGTTCTTGTCCACTTATGAGATGAGAACATTTTTTTTTCAAAGAAAGCCCTCCAAGCCTGCTGTAGTGTGTCTGTGTTCCTCGAGCATCAGACATCCAAAGGCGTTGAAAGAAAAACTTGCTTTAAAATTTGGTCTAAAAACTGTCATCAGTGCTGAAAAGAAACAGGAAAGCCGGCAGTAGTAGTGTGATGCTTTGGGCTTTGTTCCACTGGGAAACCTTGGGTCCTGCCATCCATGTGGATGTTACATTGACACGTACCACCTACCTAAGCATTGTTGCAGACCATGTACACCCTATTCCCTGATGGCTGTGGCCCCTTTCAGCAGTATAATGTACCACATCCTAACTCTCCAATCTCATTCTCTTATTCAGGTGTTCAACGAACATCCAGCATTCAGGTTAGCTAGTGATGGCTGCCTGCGCTCACTGGCAGTCGAGTTTCAGACCACCCACTGCGCTCCAGGAGACCTGATCTTTCACGCCGGGGAGAGCGTTGACACCCTCTGTTTCGTGGTGTCGGGGTCACTGGAGGTCATCCAGGACGACGAAGTCATTGCCATCTTAGGTACGTGATCACAGAATTAGTTTGATTCTGACAGGTTTGAAAATTGAACTTAACTCTAGTATTTGGACTGCTGGTCAAAACAATTGCAAAGCATCACCTTTTCTTTTCTGACCTTTAAGCAACAAACATATTCACGTAGTCATCATTTGGATGTAATGCCATGTTTGGAAAGTAGAAATTCTTAAATTAGTTATCATTGTGCAACAACAACAAAAAAGTCTTTCTCAAAATGTAGACTGAGGTAAGGAGATTGGCATGTTCAAAGATTGCTGTACATGCACAATAAATATTGAATAAGTCAGTTATCTATAAAGCAATTATGAAAATGAAACATGAAATGTGTGCCTTGGGAAAAGGGAAGAGTTCATGAGAAGAGTTCATGAGAAGCCAGCAGGCGAAGTCAGGAAGAAAATTTAATAAAACACTTAAACTACTTTAACATCTGAAAATGCAAAAACATCATTTTGTGTATTTCAGGCAGCCAGTGAGAAGGTCGGCCAGGTGACAGGTGGATTTGTTAAATTGTTTGATCTCAAGATTCTTTCTTCTTTTTGACCCTTGAGATCTGAGCAGATTTCACAACACAACAGGTTTTGCAAACCTTTCCAAGCACACAAGATAAACAATTGGACCTTGCAAACAAGAATGTGTGGGCACACTTCAGAGAGGAGCCACTTTAATAGATATGTTCAGTCACATCAGCAAGTTGACGTCAGTTTGGACTTTCAAGTGTTAAACCCAAACAGTGCGTCTCTTATCTGCTGCTGTACATATCGCTCTCCGCTGCCTTGTACTGTATAATATTTATGAGGTGGAGAAGAAAGAGAGAAGAAAGGGAAAATGCTTTTTATTGAGGTGTGCACAGATAGCACTGATGCTCAAGGCATCCAGTGAAAGGCGCTTTCTCATAATCATCAGCGGGCCCCAAATGAGCGTTTACCAACAGCGAATAACAAGAACAAACGATTATTAGTATGAAGAATGAGTGCAAAGCTGCACAGCAAAAGATCAACTGGTGCGTGTGCAGAGGCTTAGATGAAGTAGCACGTGCACAAACATGCACATCCATAAAAATCGCTGTTATGATCTCAGTGAAGGAGACGCTAGTATGTAAAGGGCGAGAGTGTGATGGTCACATTGGTGTGATGGTTATTTTCCTATTATTAGGATAGTGTTTTCTGTGTTTCTCCTGTTTTGAGACAGACTTGTTTAGATGAACACGAATCCTAAAACTCAGATCTGTGTGCAAAGTACAGAAAGTTCTGAACATGAGCAGAAATAAGCTGAAACACTTCTGAGCAGTTAAATTACATTTGGGGAAAAAGTTCACCAGAATGCAGGAAATAATGTGCCGATAGCTTGAACCTTCCTGAGGTGGACCCAGCTTCTCTGTTTAAAGAAAACTAAATGGCTGATGTTAATTCCTGCAGCGACTGTCCGGCATTATTTTACTTTTCCATCTCAGCCTGGGATACTTGGACATGTCTTCTTTAATAAACATTGAAACAACCTGAAACAGTAAAACTTTTCACAGCATCCATTGGTCAACAGCTGCTTTTGCTAGGCAACAGGCAGTGTTGGGGAGTAACGGAATGTACCGCCGTTACGTATTTAAAATACAAAATATGAGTAACTGTATTCCGTTACAGTTACTGTTTAAAAAGGTGGTATTTAGAATACAGTTACTTTGTTGAAATAAATGGATTACACGGCGGTACTTCCCTGTTTCATATTGTGGCGGGTCAGG